CATTGGAACAATTTACACTGTGTTTATGAGTTTCACGTGGGTAAGTACTTTTTGAGAGTATACAACATATACAATAGCACAAGATCAGCAAACATTTTACAGTAGATGTAAACTCTTACTAAATGTCATTTAGTTTGCTGAAGCACTATAACACAAGCAACTACTAGGTTTTTTACTTTAGAAAATACGGTTTTTACCTTTTTTGTCATCTGTTTTTGCATTCAGGTGCTGCTGGTCTTCTGCATCTTCCTTGCAGCTATGTTTTGCTCACAAACAATATATGGAATCCACTGGTAACTGACATTTTTTGGGGCATTGTTAATGAGTGTGACAACGGTGGAACATGCTTGTACAATGTGTATTGGCATGGTTATTTAGTGTCTACGCTTGAAGTGCGTGTGAGAGGGTAACTTTCTGGGAGTGCAACTGGGGGACAAAGACAAAATATTATCAACCCATAACATGAAAGATTTTGACAAGGACCTTCATGTCAGGTATTCTTTTGGAAAGTTGTAGATGTAAAGAGATTGAAAAATACTTTTGAAATAGTTTTTGCTTGTTAACGATTATGTGAGGTTTTAGTGATTTGATTTACATCTACTTTTAACATTTGCTCCACCACTGATTTGCCAAATTTGTCTCCAAGATTTAGTTCTCAGTATGAATTCCACCTAAAATTTCCTTTTGAGAAATAAGCAGAGATTTTGACTTCCTAACAACTTATGGCACATAATTCCCTTTTTTATCCACTTCAAGTCCGGACACTTTCACCCCCTTCCAGTCCAGGCCAATTTTCGGCTTTCAGTGCTATCACACTTTGAGTGACAATTAGTCATGCAACACTGTACACATATGAAATTTGTATCCTTTTTTTGAGACATATAGATCTTTCTTTTGGTGGTATTTGATTACTTTTTGGGTTTTAAAATTTTTTTTTTGCTATATAAATGAAAAATAACCAAAAAAAAATCACTTTTTCCTTAGTTTTTGTTATAAAATGTTGCAAATAGATAATTTTTCTTCATACATTTTGGCTAAAATGTATTCTGCTACATATTTGGGGTAAAAATAAACCCAAAACAGTTTATAGTTTGTGTGAAAGCTATAGTGTCTACAAACTATAGGATATATATTTGAAAATTGATCAGTTGAGATACTAAAATGCTGGCCACTGGTATGGCATATGGCAGTGATCAGGACGCTGGTATGGGATATGGTGGTGATCAGGACATTAGCATGAGGTATGGTGGTGATCAGGATGCTGGTATGGCAGTAGCCAAGATGTTGTTATGGGGTATGGGGCTGATCAGGATGCTGGTATGTGGTATGGCTGTGATTAGGATGCTGGTATAGGGTATGGGAGTGATCAGGATGCTGGTATAGGGTATGGTAGTGATCAAAACACTCATATGGGGTATGGCAGTGATCAGAATGCTGGTATGGGGTATGGTAGTGATCATGGTGATGGTATGAAGTATGGTGGTGATCAGGATGCTGGTATGGGGTATATAGTGGTGTTTAGGACACTGGTATGACATATGGGGTGATCAGGATGCTGGTATGGGGCATGGCGGTTATCAGGATGCTGGTATGGGGTGTGGCGGTGATTGGGATGCTGGTATGGGGGTATGGCGGTGATCAGGGCACTGGTATGGTGTATGGCAGTGATCAGGGCACTAGTATGGTGTTTGGCAGTGATCAGGGTGCTGATATGGTGTATGGCAGTGATCAGGGTGCTGGTCAGGTTACTGGTTATGGCGGTGATCAGGACATTGGTATGGTGTATGGAGGTGTTTTTAGTGCACTGACACAGGTGACAGGGCCTCTCTGAATTATTTATTATTGTTATTATGGGGGCAGTGATCAGGGACACAGGGGAATTATCCTGGGGCACTAGGTGGCATTACAACAGCACTGGGCAGTGTATGGGTATTTTAAGCAGTTCCACAGGCACCATGTACAATGACACCTCCCAAAAATAGACACTGCAGGATCACTGTCTGTTGCAGTCTCACATACTGAGGGCAGAGGAGAAGGGGCGATCTTTACTTTCAGGGCATGATCAGGGAACTTCCAGTGCTTACTATGTGAGTGCTGTGACTGGTCATGTGTGTGAGTAACATGCAGTAAAGGAATGCTGTACAATCAGAACTGCAATTTCTCAAAACACACACTGGTAATGTAAAATGAAATATCTGCTGTGGGCAGTGTACTGGAGATAGAATGACAAAAATCATACAGTAAATGGTCAGTGGTGGGGGGAAGTCTGGAACAGTGTACCATGGTAAAACACTACGTGATTGCCAAAAACAAAAGCGTAGCGGTAAAATCTGCTGTGTTGATGTCATGGTGCGACTGCCAACATCGTGGTGGACTGACCATTTGGAAAACTCCACCTACGGGCACTGCCCGAGGGCCTGGGTCAGTAGGGGGCCCAAGAATGAGATGCCCCTGGTATCAATTCTTTTTGTCATAGTTCTTTTTTGAGAGTTTGGGGGGGAATCAAGGACATATTGCCCAGGGGTTAGGTCCATGAGTCCGCCCTGATCACCGCAAAATTGCCCAGTTGGGCTCCATGGAAAATCAATTTAGCCATCTGCTCCTGATGTACAGTCCGCCCTGATCCCGGGCTCCGGATGTGCGCTCTGTGACAGGAATGTTAGCCTGCATCGGCTCTGCTTACCGTTCACTGTCTATGTACAATGGGCAGACGGGAAGTGGTTAAAACACTTAAGTACCAGCCAGTAATAAGCCTTCATTATCTTTTGCTGCCAGAAAATTACAATTATTTGCACACATGTGTTAAAATGCACATTTTTAGGCCTAAATAATAGTAAAAAATCCCAAAAAGATTATATATTTTCCAAAATCAGAGACCCCGGAAAATAAAATGATAGTATTTTCAATTGTTTATGTCACACTATATTAGAGCAACTGTTTATAAAAACACATATTTTCAGTAAAAAAATACACTAAAGTTAATTTGAGTGCACATAAGCACAAAATATACCCAAATATTTTCGTAAAATATAAAAGCTGAGAAGAAAGTACTTTGAGCCACAGATGGCAAAAATATCAAGCCTTAAAATCTATGCACCTGGGAAATTACAACATTCTATGGTTTTTCTTCATAGGCCACACTTTAAATGTCTTTATAGGTCATCGGTTTAGAGTTAACTGTGACCTTAGAATTATTGTTTTCACTCAAGCATGCTTTGCGATACCAAAATATGTATAACACAACTGTCTTTTACACAAACAAGTACAATGTGTGTTCATATGTGGGTGTACATGGGGCAGTACGCCTTAAACATATATTGGTGTTCGTTTGTTTTGCTTTGAATTTTAAGATTTTTTTTCTTAACTCTATAGCTATCATATAGGTGAAAAGATGTTCACATCCTTGGGAGTATGAAATATTTAAAGTATATGTCTGGGGAAAAAAATATATTGAAAACATCCCCATATTACGTGCCCAGTTCTTCATGGTGTATCCCTTTAAAATCAATGCAAGCACAGAAAACTATTCTTGGACTAAGCAGCAAGGCTGACAAGGAAAAAAGAACATGTTTTCCTTTTTTCAAAGGTGCTGATTCACCACATCAAAAGATCATAAATATCTAAATATAATTGAATAGAAAAGAAATTGTGATATTTTTGACAGTAAAACGATTCTTGAGGTATGCACTGCAAGAAACAAAAAAAAAAAAAAAATTGGGTAAAGAAGCTAATGTTCTGAAACATAAATAACTCTAGGTGGTATACGCTGTTGCCAATAGAAAACCAGTAAACTAAAGAAAAAATCAAATTCTTCTAGTCAAGGAGGTCAAAGTTCTAAAAAAATAAGAAGATACTTGGTGGGTGTTCAGCTGACCCTTAGACTATCAGGTAAAAAAGAAACTAGAAGTTGTTAAATACTCCCAAGCTGGGTTATTGCTAAGAAAAAAAATGTTTACATAATTTTTACAGGCTGTAGATTCAGCAGAGAAAAGTATCATGGGCTTACAATGTTCAACTGGGGAGACTAGTTATTGTAAAATAACAAGCATCCTACAAATGTACACTGTAGCCTGTGGCAAAAAAGAAATTACTTTAAAAAATGAAATAAAGCATTGAAATTCGATTTCCTACTACCTGTGGCAAATGAGCATGGCAATGATTGAGCGGAAGCTGAGTGTTAAGAATTAGTAGTGAATCAAATTAAAGTAGTCAAATGCAGGAGAACTAAAGAGGCAGCCATGCTTATACTTGTAGTGCCCCTTTAAGCAAAAAAAGGAAGATGTATGTTGTGCTGCTGGTGCTCAGGAATGGGGGTGCTGGCATGAAATATCACCATCTAATAGTGTGTAGTATACTTAGAAAAATTGATGCACTCCCAGTCCAGTCTGTGTTGTTAACATGTCTGAAATGGCCTCAATCTTAAACCACTCCACAAGCCTTGTCCTCTGACATGTTTCACCCCACCCTCCAGTGGCTTAGTCACAGTGGATCTCTATGACCAAGCCCTGGTGGGCATGGCAAGACATGTCAGAGCGGGAGACTTGTGGAATGGTGTAAGGATAAGGTCATCTCAGACATTGTAACGATATAGACTGTACTGGGAAGGTGATAATTTTTCCAAAAATATATAGACATGGCTCTATAAAAGAAACACAAATTTATAGAGAAAAATGACTTCAGACATTGCAAGGGTCCGGCATGGATGTTATTTTACGCTTGTAGCACTTCCAAAGGTTTAAGTCTCCACTTCAGTTTTTGCAGCTGATAGAAGACATAGGTGCTGGGATAAAAGCACGGCTGATTGGGGGAGTGCAGCAACCTAGCATTGTATTTGTGACTATGTTGCAGAAGCTCAGGCCAGTAACATTCTGTACCTAACTTGAGTAGCTATGTACACATGAGAATAGGGCATTGTGAATATGAATATTTTCCCCTGCTTGGGAAACCTCTGTGTTGAATTTTGCATCCAAAAGTGATTAAGCAACACTTAAAGCTGACAATTTGTGAGACTTACAGTACCATTCTGTTTCTGTCTATGTTGTGGAGTTTCTTGCTACAGCACTCTACCTTGTGACCTATATTACATAGCTGTCAGGAATGGACTTGCCAGTAATGGTGGGACTCACCTGCCTTGTGGGCTGCAGTACCAGGGTTGGCCAGCGGGTGCTCTCAGCAATCAGAGACTCACCCCAGCAATCAGCCAACACCCTGAAGCTGATTGCAGGGGTTGTATGGCTAGACTAACTGTCTATTTAAGGAATGGCCAGACTCACAGTCAGGGCCTTGGTGTGTGTTTTTCCCCTGGGCCCCTGTACCTTGTATCCTGTATATTCCTGTTCCTGTCTGACTTGTTGCCGACCCTGCTGCTGATCCTGATCTCTGCTGACTTCTCCTGCTTGATCCTGGCTTGTGACCCTGACCATTCTCTGCCCGACCCTCTGTACCGCGCTGCCAGCGTGAGTTACTGAACCCAGCTTGTTGACCCCTACCACTCTGCAGGCCTGTTCCTGGTACTCCGTTTGCCCGTTTGCTACTGACCCGGCCTGCCTGACTACTCTTTGTATTGTATGTATTGTTATCAGTGGGTGGTTTGGTTTGTTTGCACTGTGTTTATGTTTAATTTTGCACTGCGTTTTGTATTGTTAGTCTTAATAAATTATATTGTTTATTCCATATCTGAAGCCTGCGTTTCCCTGTGTCAGTCCACACACCTCTGGTCATACCTGGAGCCCTGACAATAGCATACCTACTGTATGTCTGACCAAATAAGGCAGCACAGTGGCTAAATGGTTAGGCACTTCACCTGGCAGTGTACTAGGGTCGTTGGTTCGAATCCCAGCCACGGCACCTCCCTGCCTGGTGTTTGCATATTCTCCCTGTGCCTGCGACGTGGGTTTCCTCACCCAGGTACTCCCACACTCCAAAGACATGCTGGACTAGGTTAATTGGATCCTGTCTAAATTGGCCCTTGTATATGAATGTGAGTTAGGGACCTTAGATTGTACACCCCTTGAGGGTTAGGGACTGATGTGAATGTACAATATTGTCAAGGTCCAACCTTTTCCCAGAGGTTATGTTACTCCATGTGCTGGCATCCATCTTGGATTTCTGCTGAGCATGGTGGGAATCTTTTATGCCTTCAGGTCTCTGAGGTCCATCCCCCAGAGGGGGTGTGGCTGAGTAGATATAAGCCTTGTGATCCGCACATGCTCTTTGCACTTGTGTCTTTTGTCTTTGTCCTTGTGCTACAGCTCTGTGTATACTCTCATGTGACTCTTCTGGTATCTGACTCGGCTTGTGACTAAGAACCATTCTCTGTGTTTTTCCTTTGATCTGACCTTCCGTTGCTGAACCCGGCCCCGTGACCTCCGTGATTCTCTGTCTACTGTTACTGTACCATTTTGTCCCGTTGTTGTCGACCCGGCCAGCCTGACTACGCTATTATTGTCATTCTTACCAGCTACACACCATTGGCGGTGGCCATTACCACAACCGGGGTGTCTCGGGGGCCGCGACCTGGTTCCTGGCTGGCGTCAAAAAGTCCATCCCCACCATCAGGGGCCCTGGTGAAGGGCAGAAGCCTGGGACTTAGACTCCGCACCCTGAGGGACTTCGGTCTGTTGGTGGTGGTTGTCGTCAGCCAGTGCGTTACCCTGCCACTTCAGGCCTAACTGTCTGTTCCACAGCCCTGCCCTGACATTACACAAGTGCCATGAATCCTGACGGTGCAGGTACGCCTTTGCTTATACCAATGTTGGTCGCCAGACTGGATCAACAGGATCTCCTGTTGGATCAGTTCGCTCAGGCGTTGCAAACTCTGCTTGCACACACCGTGCACCTTACTCCTGGTGCTATTAGGCGGTTTGTCACTCCGGTGGTCGCTCCCGTTGCTGTTCCGCTTGTTGCGCCTACCGCCGCGGCTGCTGTGATACCCGCGGCGCCCAGAGGGGTATGACTGGTTCAGCCCCTCTTCCACACAGCGCTTTGGGGGTGAGCTGAGTCAGTGTCGTGGGTTCCTCAACCAGGTGGGGATTTACTTCGAATTAATACCTCCACGCTTTTCCGACTGAGAGGTCAAAGGTGGGTTTCCTAATATCACTACTCTCAGACAATGCCTTGGCGTGGCTGTGGACTGGGCAAAATCCCTTATGGGAAAGGAACGACCCGGTGATTCACGAGTTTTTCAGATTTTGTCAATGCCTTCTCGCAGGGTATATCGATGTACCGGCTCGCTTCGCGCCTCGGCTGCCAAGCTGCTCATGTCTATGCATCAGGGTTCACGGACCGTTGCCGAGTATACGCCATAGAGTTTTGTACCCTGGCGGCAGAGGTGGGTTTGGAACAAATGAGGCTCTGGTAGGCTGCATTTTCTCAGGGTCTTTCTGATGCATTGAAGGACGAGATCGCAGCCCAAGGAATTGCCTGTGGAGCTGGAAGCACTAATTTCTTCCTTCCTGATCTGATTTAGATACCAGGCTCAGGGAGAGGCCTTCACATCAAGGAATGCCTGCGGAGGCCTTCCAATCGACTGGCACCTGCGTTTTCTGTCTGTCCCACCGTTCCTCCCCTCTCTCTCCACCACGCCTCCTGGAGATAGATTGTTGTCTGGTGGTGAGCCCATGCAGCTGGGGTTTGCCTCGCCTTTCCCGAGAGCGAGAGCGGGCCGCTCGGCGTCGGGAGGGTCGCTGCCGTACTGTGGCCTTAGTGGGCACATTTTCGGCAGTTCCTGTCCGGTTTCCGTCCGGGAAACGCTCACACCTGAGATCCTGTCGGGGGACAGAATACTTGGGTGCGAGAGTCTCCTCGTCCCCCGGCGTTCCGCAGAGATACAACCACTCATCACCGTTGTCCTCTTCCTTGGGCAGAGGGCTCGGTGGTGGCCCAGGCGTTGGTAGATTCTGGGGCCGGCGGGTTTGTTTATGGACAGCTCGTTTGCTGCCCAGCACTCCATTCCCCTGCAGGCTCGAGTTTCCCATTGGTTCTCAAAGCGATAGATGGCAGGCCCCTGCAACCACCGCAGGTTACATACGAGACCATGCCAGTTGAAGTAGCGATTGGGGCTGTTCACAGGGAGTTGGCCTGTTTCCAGGTGATTTCTTCTCCGCACTATTCGGTGGTTTTGGGGTATCCCTTGGCTCCAGATGCACAATCCCCACCTTTAATTGGCGAACCGGCCGAGATTCTCTCGTGGTCACCACTGTGTGGGGCGGGTGCATCCGTGGGGCGGATTAAGGTGTTGTGTGCCTCCTCGGACTCTGCGTTGCCCACCGAATTATGGGGAGTACCAGGGACGTGTTTGATAAGGTACGCGCTGGTGCCTTACCTGCTCATCGTCGTTACGACTGCACCATATCCTTGCAACCCGGTGCCACTCCTCCGCGTGGCAGGGTGTATCCTCTCTTGGTTGCGGAGAATAAAGCCACGGAGGAGTACGTTGCGGATGCGCTTTCCCCGGGGCACATTCGTAAGTCTACTTCCCCAGCAGGAGCGGGCTTTTTCTTTGTAAAGAAGAAGGGTGGTGAATTGAGGCCTTGCATCGATTATAGGGGTCTCAATCGAATCACCACTAAGAATGCCTACCCGATTCCCTTGATTACTGAGTTGTTCGACCGCCTTAAGGGGGCAACAGTCTTTACCAAACTTGACCTCTTTTCCGCTAGGGCGGGCGTACAACCTCGTAACGGATCAAACAGGGGGGATGAGTGGAAGACCGCGTTTAAACACCAGAACCGGTCACTACGAATACCTGGTGATGCCCTTCGGGTTGTGTAACGCGCCCGCAGTTTTTCAGGAATTTATAAATGATGTCCTTCGTGACTTGTTGCAGCAGTGCATGGTAGTTTACTTGGATGACATCCTGGTTTACTCTGCCTCCACGGAGTCCCATATCCAAGATGTCAAGCGGGTGCTGCAACGATTACGTGAGAACAAACTTTTTTGTAAACTTGAGAAGTGCGAATTCCATCAATCCCAAGTTGCCTTTTTGGGCTACATCATTTCTGCGGAGGGATTCTGCATGGACCCTCAGAAGGTTGCGGCGGTTCTGCAGTGGCCTCGTCCCAATGGTCTTCGGCCCATTCAGCGCTTTTTGGGTTTCGCCAACTACTATCGGAAGTTCATCAGGAACGTCTCCACGCTGGCAAAGCCTCTCTCAGACCTAACCAAGAAGGGCAGTAATCCTCACGAGTGGCCATCCGAGGCCATCGTAGCGTTCGAGGCTCTGAAATCCACCTTCGTTTCGGCTCCGATACTGTCCCATCCCAATTCGGGATTGCCCTTCATCCTTGAGGTTGATGCATCCGAGACGGGAGTAGGCGCTCTCCTGTCTCAACGTCGGTCACCCAATGGACCCCTACTTCCCTGTGGGTTCTACTCCAGAAAGCTTTCCTCTGCAGAGTACAACTACCAGATTGGAGATAGGGAGTTGTTGGCAATAATTCTGGCTCTCAAGGAATGGAGGCACCTGCTCGAGGGCTCCGCGGTTCCGGTCCTCATTCTTACCGATCATAAGAACCTGACTTATCTTTCAGAGGCCAAGAGATTGACACCCCGTCAGGCCAGATGGGCCTTGTTCTTTTCGCGGTTCAACTATGTGATCTCCTATTTGCCTGGTTCCAAGAATGTCAGGGCTGATGCATTATCGCGGCAATACTCTGAGTTGTCCAGGGAGGACTCTGAGCCAACCTCGGTCATACCTCCGGATCAGATCCTGGCTGCCATTCGCACCAGACTGACTTCTCCGTTTGGGGAGCAGATTTTGGTGGCTCAAACTGACGCTCCTCCCGAGAGACCGGAGGGTAGATGTTTTGTACCCGAGGGGGTTGCGCACCCGTCTGCTGTGTGTACCTACCATAACTCCAAAACTGCCGGGCATCCGGGGAGGAACCAGTTGTCTTGGATCGTCTCTCGGTTGTTCTGGTGGCCAACTCTCTCGTGCCGACATCGCCTCTTATGTAGCGGCATGTTCGATCTGTGCCCAGAATAAATCTCCACGGCATCTTCCAATGGGTCTTCTGCAACCCATTCCCAATGGGGAGCGTCCTTGGTCACACCTGGGCATGGACTTTATTGTAGACCTCCCTGTGTCTCGGGGTCATACGGTCATTCTCATGGTCGTTGATCGTTTTTCCAAAATGTGCCATTGTATTCCACTCAGGAAATTACCAACAGCGCAAGAACTGGCCACGGTCTTTTCCAGGGAGATTTTTCGCCTGCATGGGTTGCCCAAGGTGATTGTCTCGGACCACGGGCGTCAGTTCGTGTCCAAATTCTGGCGCGCCTTCTGCTCCCAGTTGGGTATTAGTCTCTCCTTTTCTTCAGCCTACCACCTGCAGTCCAATGGGGCTGCGGAGCGTTCCAATCAGGCCTTAGAACAATTCCTTCG